ATTTATTAGGTTGTTTATTTAAAATATCTTCTTTTAATAAAAACTTTATGCATTTTTCTTCATCAAATAGAATTTTTTGTATAGACTCAATATTAGGAATAGTTATTTTATAAATAAAAATAAAAAAATTAAAAATATATATATTTATATTATTTATATAATTTTATTAATAATATTATTATTTTTATAATAGTAATTTTCTCTTATAATCATGTAATTTTTGTTTTATCAAGATCATCTTTCTATTTTAATAAAAGATCATTATCTTTTTTAACAATAAACACAACAAACACTCACTTTTTTTTTAAAAAAAAAACAAATTTTCTTTTTTTACAAATAAACAAAACTTTAAAAAGTATAGTATTATTATTATTATTTTTTTTTTTGTATTATATGATTAGAATAATAGTGCGCTTGTTAAAAATACCCTTTCAATCACTTTAATCATAGAAGTTATTAGTTTTTTTTCTTTATTATCAGCTATCAACTATCTATGATTATCTTGATTATCAATGTTATTTTTAACATTTTTCTTTTGCTGGCTTTTGTTTTTTTTGTGTTTTTAACTATGATATATATTATATGTTTTGTTTTTTTTTATTTTTAAATAAAAAAAACTAATATTATCTATGTTTTATAGATGTCTTTACAAGAAAGTATTGATGAAGTTATTGAAAAAAGTCATGAGTTGCAAGGTTCTTTACTTGCTATATGAAAAGAAGTAACCAAGTTTTAGCCTAAATATGAGCCATGTGATAACCTTAAAGCTCAGTTCGAAAAAATTAAATTTGCAGTTAAAATTAAAAAAAATCAAAATTTATATGATGCTGTTATGTTTATGAAAAAAGAAGGTGGAGAGTTCAAGGATAAATATTATAAGTTAAACACTAAGTATAATAGAATGGTTGAGCAATTTGGAGAGATTACAGATTAATAATTTGGTTATTTTTTTTTTGTTTTTTTGTTTGTTTATTTTTTTTTGTTTTATAAAAATATTTTTTGTTTTATTATATATTTTTTAATAAATAAATAAATATTTGTAAATAGTAGTAAAATATTTACGTAATCTATTATAAAAAAATATAAATAAAATTAATATTTATACAAATCACAATAAAAATCTAATTGGTTACATACTTAAAATTCCTTTTTACGTTTGTGACAGCCATATTTCAATGATATATATTTATATTCAACATATACACTTATAAGACAAAGAAAAACAATAAGATAAATTTTCGAAATTTTCATTTTTTTAATTTAAATTTAGCAAAACTAATGTTATATTTATATTTATTTCATGTAAATAATAATTTTAAAATAAAAATAAAAAATTAAATAAAAAAAATAAATAAGTAAATAAATATTGTCTTTACTGAAAGTTCTGAAAATGGTCAGAATAAGAGTTAGAATTAGAGTTAGAGTTAGAGATAGAGGTAGAGTTAGAGGTAGAGGTAGAGTTGAGATTAGTTTTTTTATGACCAACACCAGCAAGATCAGCAGATGCTTTAACAGCTTTATCAAGTTTTTCTTGTAAACTTTCATTTTTATCAAATTCTATTCCGAGATTATTACATATATCTATATACAATGAAATTTCTATTTATATTTATAAATCTAATATGGCAATGTGGCTGTAGTATATCATTTCATTGAAAAAATTCTATAAATTCAGGATCTACATAAAATTCCCTTGTTGTTTGCTTTTTGATAAAATTATTTGTTTGATAACTTAATAGTATAAACCAAGCTGAGTTCACCTTTTTGCAGAGAAGTTTATAAGTTTATTCTTGTAAATAATGAATATAATAAATATTAAGTTTAAACCAGACTAAGCTTTTCTATTAAAAAAATTAAACAAAATTAGTTGAGAAAAGCAAATAACAAAAGCTTTAGAAGGTCTTAATAAGTCTTGGCCTTGTTAGATTACTCTCTAATAAACGAAAGACTTAGTATATAATGTCTTTTTTAAATTTGAATGCTATTAGTTAGTAAAATTTCTTGTTATATTTTCTTCTACTATAGAGAGAAAAAACAGAATTTCAAGTCTTGAGAAGCTGAGAGGCGACATGTGCAATGCACCATTCTCAGAGCAATTAGTCGATCTGTATAGCTCTCGTACAGGTCTGAATAAATAAGAGCAAACAATTTTATTTAAGTGAATAATAACATATAGTTTTAATATGAGCTTAGTGTCTCTAGCTATTTTGTCACTTTAAAAGATTCACAAACTATTTCTGAGATTTTAAATAAACAAGGAATAGTTTATTTACTTATTCAAGGAAAATGCCGTGAAGTGGTGAATAAACTTATAGTAAATATGAACAATTTGATCATATTGAAACTAAATTTTTCAAAGTTTTCAAATTTCTTTTACCAATTTGAACTCATTTTTAAGTTAATAAAATTTTACTTTACATTATTTTATAATTTTTAATTTCTAAGTCAAGATTAATTTTATTTAATTATAAAATTTTATTAAATAATTAAACATTTTAATTCAATATTTGTAAAATAATTTGAAAGTGAAATAAATATATAAAATGATAATAAATTTAACAATAGATAAATAAACATTTTTAATGAAAAAAACTTTAGCTTTTTTAGTTTTAAACTAGACAGTTCTTGATTTTGCTATTCAATTTTTGCTTCAAGTTCATTAACTTTATCTTGTAATTGACGATTAATATTAACCAAATCTTCTTTATCAGTAAGTAATGCAATATTTCTTTGTAAAATTTCTTGATTATCTTGTAAACTTTTTAAATATTTTTCATACAAAAGTTCACCACCTGTTAATATTGGTTCATCCATTTTATAAAAGTATACATTGTAATGTATAATCAAAAAGACTATTTACTATGTAAATAAACATATATATAGTAATAAAATTAAAAATAATATGACGAATTAAGTCTTTTAATAGGAAAAAAATACCAAATAAAATAAATTTAAAGTTTGATTGTTGTCTGATTAATTGTTTAAGTTATAAAATTTCCTCTTTCAATATAATTATTTCTTGATCATTTCATTCTAATTTGTTATGAATACGATTTATATATCTAGAAATACTACTCATATTTCCAAACCATCAAAAATGGTTCTAATTAATTTTTTTTTTTTTTTTAAAATTCGGCAGTCATGCCAAAACTTTATTAGATTCTAACGTAATCAGTTCCACCTCATGCAATTACTCAAACTAAAACACTAGCTTTAGCGTCTAACTTACAAGTTTTGACTAACTCGGTTATCAACTTGACATCTATGTTCGACCTGCTATAGCCGATTTTGTCTATGCATCTATCTCTTCTGAAACCGAAGTAGATAGGTACATCATCAACTAGGATCGGCCACCCGTCATGTCCGCTAATTTCCTTAAAACCTTCCTCTTCTTAATATCTCAGCAAGAGGATTCCATAATCCTTGTTTCAAGAATGACAAGTATACTAAAAAAAAACTAAACCAAAAGAAAATAGTAAAAAAAGTGAAAAATCTACAAAACCTACACGCAAGCCAAGTACAAAAAAAAAAAGAAAATATAAAATAATAAAAAAAAGAGAAAAGTAAAAAAAAAAAGCAAAAAACCATGAAAGCACCAGATACACTGAGTGCTTGGGGAAACACTAGTTTCATTTAAAAATTATTTAATACTCTATAAAACAATCCCCATCTTCGCTTTACTTTGGTATTAAAATAGTTTTTGTTATGTGGAAAATACGAAATTTTTCTTATTTACCCATCGATACAAACCAACCGGTTAACTTTTTTGTTTACATTTTCCTCGTCACATGTTTTTAGTTAGTTGCAAGGTATGAAGCCCTGTGATCCTCAAACTTCGTCCCAATATAGTGTAAACAAATATCGATCTTTTACTGGGGTATACTGAATTTCCCACTTTTTGGAAAAAATTTTGAGAGAAATACCAAAAAACCCGGTGAGAATATGGAAAGTGGTTTTCAAGGTCAGGTACTTCAAATTTTCAAAGAGTGTGTTAAAGAACTTATTTGTTGTTCCTCTTTTCTTTATTGCCTCTTGGTTGCTTCGTCAGCGAAGACTACTTATTCTCCAAGCCCATCGACACCAAAATTTTGTATACAAGGGCACCACCTGCCAGTTATCTTGTATTTCAATGCTTCTGGTTTGCATGCCGAATATGTCAAAGGAGTTCTCAGAGGCTAGAAAAAACCTGGTTGGACCTTTGCAAGAACCGCCCGATAGTCGTGTCTACTACTCCAACAAAATTTTTGCTCTTTTTTTAGTATAAAAATTTGGTACAGGGAGAGTTCGTACAATAGTTTGGTAGTATTTCGATGTTTCTAATTAATTTATCTAACTCTAGGTCTAAATTTCTTTGTACTAAAATTCTAAATACAATATTGAGATAATATTGTTTGGTTATTATGCTTGCGGTTTTATAATGATCATTATCATTTATTTTTAAATGCGAATATCTGGTATGCCAATTAGGATCAGGATAGTTATTTATATTATTTGTAATTAAATTTTGAGTTAATAAATTTGTAACTGCGGCTACTGTAACCGCATCCAATAAAGCCAATCAAATTTTAAGATCAGGTGTAACGTGAAATCAAAACAAAAAATT